GTTTCTGCGCCTGCGACATGCTTTACGGTCAACTCAGCTGCCAAGATACTCCTATCCAAAGCAATTCTACTGGTTGGATTTGGAAGTCACATGAAAATCATGTGTTAGTTCTTATAATCCCCAATAAAGCAAGTAACACAACCACCCATTTCATAACCAATCAACAATGGCGCTCTAAAAAAAGAAGCTTATAGCATCAATGGGAATTTCAGGATCCTAAAATGGAGGTACTGTACCATATTTCATGCCATATTTTGTGGAGATATCCCCTTACATAGGCCTTAAACAAAGGCCTGAAAAAATGGTAGGTACCTCCAATGAATCGGTTCCGCTTCGTCATGGCCATTCATCCCATTTCCAATGGGTTAAAGTATGGTTAGCACTGAGGGATGCAGAAGATCACCCTACGGGTACCCGGAAAAGTTGTGGTACCAAACTGGTACCCCCAGGTGAACAGAAAACCATGGCGCCGTTGAGCTCATCCCCATTTGGATGTAATCATTCCAAAGAGGTATACCAAATACATCAATGGGGATGAGGTCACTTTTTCCATGGTTTCCATGGATCCCATTTCACCAAACAGGTGTAGAAAATACATCAATCTATATACCCTCTGGTAAACGTTTACATAACTATGGAAAATCACCATGCTATTAATGGGAAAACTCACTATAAAGTGCCATTTTCAATAGCTTTTTGTATGTTTACCAGAGGGTATGCTGCTTTCCAAAGCCACCAAATGTTAATCCTCGCCGGCGAACTGTTGTGTTTCCCTCTAGGTCCTTGGAATTCAGGTTCATCATAGATCGAGGTCGGCGAGGTAATGCAAAGTGGTGCCCCCAAAAAACGCTAAGTTGGTGCGTTTATAACTAAAATTTCACTATATGACTATATGGTTTATCACCATATAAACTATATATAGTGATTTATCGATAGATCACCCTTAAATTCAATTTCACTAGTTCAGTTATGTATTTATAGGTGATATATCGAACTAATTGATGCCATAATGGGTTTATCACCAATTTATAACTGGGGCACCACCTTGTGCACCCGAGATTGCCCGTTGTTTCGTGCGCGTTGTTTCGGTCACCTGACCATGGTATGAAACGTCATGTCCACTGTAGCCTCAGCAATAGTTGTAGCAATATTCCCCCATGTTTTCCAAACTTCGGATCTAAATCTTCAGTTTTTATGAACAAGAATCATCATTCCGAAGAAAACAACATACCCTCTGGTAAACTAACATAGCTATTGAAAATGGCTAGTAAACATTCAGTGATTTTCCATAGTTATGTTAGTTTACCAGAGGGTATGTTTTAGTCATGGGGTTTCCAAAGTCATGGGACTACCCCCAGTTCTCATCCGTTTTAGATTGGGATTTTCCAGCAAATAAACATTCCAGCTATTGGGATATCCCCATTTGTGGAAACCCCATATAACCAAGTTCCCGGTAAGAATCACCATATTTTAACCTGCCCAAACATTGCTTTACCACTAGAAGTTTCATGGGTGCAGCTACTGTTCGAGCCCTCTCACCACCCACCTCGTCAGGCACACTCAGATCTACCTGAGCGCTGCGCGAAGCTACTGACAGAAATGGTTGGTTTATAACCCCCATCTATATAACTGTAGATTTATCTGCCATAAACCCCATAGTTCATCTACTTAGTCTCCATTCAAAAAAACAAAATGCTTAGTTTCTCCCTGCAGTTATCGCCCGAAATACCAGTTGTAAGTACTAAATGGAATGTACTTTGCCAATCTTAGATACCCTACAAAAAAATAAATTCTTAGCTGGTTAGTAGACAATTCCTTTGATACCAAAAGACTAAAAAACTTTAAAGTACCCATCCAAGGTGAACCTAATGTATAATTCCATAGAAATAAGAGAGTTTCATCCAGTTTTTTACCCATCGCCATCGTCCCACCTCCTTCACTTCAGCGCGCGTTGGGGTGGGCGTTTCGGCCACCGTCACCGCCGCGGTAACCGGCGTTTCCGCCGTCGCTTCGGCCGCTTGTGGATCCGTGGCTTCGCTGGGCGCGGCCTGGGCTGATGATCAGCAGGCAATTGGCAAAAATGGCGGGTATCAACAACAACGTGGGATTGGTTTAAGGGAAAATCTTAACCGGAAACCATGGTTTTTAGCATGAAGTCTGGATTTTTCATGTAATTTATTCCGGAAGCCAATCTATAATGACAACAACAATCAAGATTTCTAGGGATATTATTGGGATATGTCATTGGATATGTCATAGAATCTGCCGACTCTTGTTTAACATGTCGCAAACTGAGTTTCGTCACCACGAAATCATGGTCGAATCATCAAAAATCATGTAGAAATGGGTCATGCTCCTGGAGCGCTCTCTTTAAAAAACCATAGGGTAGTTATGATTTAGTAGGATAAATCGAATATACTGGGATACATGTGGGAACTAGGCAAATTATGACCACCCTAGGGACATTGATTAACAATTTTCAATAGCTATTTTGACATAACCAGAGGGTAATATTAGGGGGATGGGTTTATTGGGTGAATGTTCAGGTGATGGCAATATCACCTGTTTTGATTTCACAATTTTGATAAGCTCAATCCATGCCACCTCAATCCACTCCCAACCACCTAAAAAAAAGTAAAAACACGAAGACCTACAAAACATACATATGTATACATACCCATAGGATCCATGTATGGTATATATGCTAACATTTGGGGTATATTGATGGTAAATGTTACCATATATAGCATACATGGATCCTATGGGATATGTATATATATAATATATTATATTAAAATTCACTAACCTGAAATAAGGCTATCTTCGGATAGTTAATTATCCCTCACTAACCATTACTCCAGTGAGGTCACAGTGAGGATCTGCTGCCCGACCCCAACCTCGCACCCCCCACCTGAGCAGTGGTTACAATTGTCAAAACTAATTGTGGTTAGTATAATCCCCGAATTAATCATCAACTAACAATGGGCTCACTGGACATGATATACGATGAAAAAAAACCATTGCTTTGTTCAACATATTGGGCTTATATCGAACTATATCATCTGGTTATTTAACATAGCCATGGAAAATCCCACCCATAAATGGAGGTTTCGTTCACTGGGAAAATCATCTATAAATGGGCCATTTTCCATGGCTATGTTAAATAACCAGATGGTATATCATCTGGTTTTGTTGGCAATATAAACGAGCTACAGTCCCAATATCCACGTATGAAGCTATATTGACCAACTCTTAAGGGGGTTGCAACAGAAACGGTCCAACCCATTTCTTAATCCCAACTGAAATAGATTCATTGGGATTAAGAAATATCAATTTATTGATAACTTTTATTTCTTAATCCCAACTGAATCATGTTTCCTTCTCCAAGTAGGATTTCCATCATTGATCAATATTCCATGAAATAAAAGTTATATCCACCTACTAAATGATGGTTATAACCCTACTAAATGACGAACCAGTCATACACCAACAAGACCATTTTAGTATAGAAACCTATGGTGACTTGGAGATCCACCAGTCCAAGAACTCCCATCCACCTATAAATAAACCCCAGAAATAGATGGGACTAACCACCTAATTTCCTGAATCTCCTATATTTCTATATCAAGTCCATAATTCAATGGATCCTATGATAGAGATTGTGATTGGTACAATGTGATTATGGAGATGGATAATCCCCTTTAAATTGTGATTCGTATAATCCCTATATGTATAAGCCCATTAACTAGTTCAATATACCACCTATAAACCATACTTATTGGAGTCGTTTGCACTAACTTAGCTATCTTGGGGCACCACCTTGTATAATATGGTATAATATGGTATAATATGGTATAATATGGTATAATATGGTATAATATGGTATAATATGGTATAATATGATACAACTCCATTCAACCCTAGTATTCAACCATGTTTCCCCATGTTTTAACCTCTATTAAATCAAGAACCCCTAGAAATTTCATAGAGATAAATGGTTTATGGTAGATATATCTATACTTACTATGGTTTATAAACCAGCAAACATAACTTGGGGGGCACCACCTTGTATATGTATGTATATATATATATATTGCTATTAACATGTTAAAGGTATAGATTCCCTACAGTATATAGTAGATTATTGATTGTCCATACTAACAGAGGTTTATAGAACTACATAGAAACCTATATAAATAATATTATATACTAACAACCCCATAACAACCCCATTCAACATCATGGTTGAATATTTCTATTCAACCATATTAATTATCCGCATATCAAAGCTACATGAAATAGAAAATTCATAGAGATCCCCAGCAATAATGTCCTTTTGGAAAAATAGAGGTCCCATTATACATTAATTAACATTAATTAGACATGGTATATTATACTAATCACAATCCCTCTATAAGTGTCTATAAGTGTCTATCAAATCCCTGAGGATTCGTAGAAGTCCCCAGCAATAATGTCCTCTTGGTAAATATAGAGGGGCCGGTTTGGTATACCATCTATCATCATTTACGTGTTAAAGGGCTAGTTTCAAACCCCTGTAATCAATCATTGAGAGAAGGACATTTATAGTCATATATACCACCAACCAGATAGGACTCTTAGACTTGAATATATTAGTCAGTTGGGATTATTCTTCTCAATATATGGAAAAATAAAATCCATGTTCCAAACCATCAACCAGTTATACTAAGAACCCCATGCAAAAATTGGAAAATCCCTCGAAATTTCATAGAGGTCCCCACCTTGTTTTCCAGCCATATATCACCTCTGGTAAACGTTTACATAACTATGGAACATCACCATGTTTCATGGGTAAATCCACTATGTCTATACGCCATGTTCCAGTTCGCAAACTGTTAGTCATTACCACGATATTCTATAGTTATATCTACCATAAACATCCATAAACCATCCATAAAACATCCATAAACCATAGAATTCAGCCACCTTGTCCCACCTTGTCCACCTCCAACATCTTCGCGTCAGCGCTTTTTCTCCGCGCCGTCGCCGCCGCGCTGCGCCTGGCGCAGCGCCTTGCGCAGCGGCGCGGTGGCCGACGTGGCGGACGCGGCGTCGCCCAGGGCGTCGGCGCGGTCCAGGTCGGAGGACGCGGCGCCTGGCCGAGCTCAGCAAAGAAAGGTCGAGGTCACCGGGGAAAATGTGGAAAAATGATGGAAAACCATGGGGTTTTGAAGAGTATTCAACGTTGTATATGGGATTGAATGGGATTTTGTTTTGGCATTTAATGTAATCTTCATGGGTTTCAGAAGATTTGAAAAATAGGATTTAACGGGATTTCACCACTAAGGAAAGATGGTTCTAATGGAATTTCTATGGGTTTTAACTAGCGACAATGGGGATGAAATGCATTTACTTCGCAACCCAAAAAAAAACTTCCCTTGAACATTCCACTCAAACTCTGCCTAGCTATATCCCCATCATTATCCATGATATTCCCATGATAGATTGAGGTTGCTACTCAGAAAATCATACCACTTACTTTGAGACAACCCCAGCTATAGTTATTTACAGGGATTTCCATCGTCATGGGGGTACCCCAAAAAAATGCCATAGATGGTTTATTTCATGGAAAATCCGAACGTGACATGGATGAGAACTGGGGGTACCCGGTACCCCTATATTTTAGGACACTTCCATCCGGGATAACCATGGATAACCCCACGCATTGGACTCACTTGGACTTGGGTTCCCTTGCCACTTGCCATGGGATGATCCTCCAAGCAGATGGGCACCTCATTTTCCCTGGGATTATCTGGGATTTAGCCACTTGGGAAAGCACAGAATTTTACCTCCAACATGTTAATCCAAATGAATCAAAATGGTGATTTAACGATCAAGTCTTGTGAAAAGCACTATTAATTAAACAAAAAACAAAAACAATTTTAGGGTTGGTGAATAATGTTGAAACAAACTTACAATGCTGATATTAAGCATCAAGATACGGGATGTATAACCATCCAAAAAATGTGGATTGAACTTTGGCTGAAAGGCAGTGACTCCGGAAACCTGTTTTTTTTGTATTGGTACTCTCTGGTGATCAAATCCGATCAAAAGTGGCAATGGAAAATCACTATTTATTATTATTTATTGAATTTATAGATGTTTTTCCCACTTAAATGTGAATGTATAGTGGATTTCTTATTGCCACCTTTGGTTACCGGATGGTACATAAAATCTGTGACTTTCAAGGGACGTTACCAGGCAATTTCCCTCCGAGTCGCTGAAGTTGCGCAGCTCGAGGTAGGCTTGAGCTCTGCGGAAGTAGGCCTGGAGCAGCGACGTTTGGTTTGGATCGCTCCAGGCCGACAGAAGAAATCATGGTGGTAGGGTATAACCAAGAAATATATCTGAAAATGGGTTACCCTCCGGTAATTTAACAGTTTGCTATTGAAAATGGCCCAGTCGAAATAGTGGATTTACCCATTCAAAAATGGTGATTTTCCATAGTTATGTAAACGTTTACCAGAGGGTATACTGCAAATTCAGTGAGAATTCCCCAAGTTTTCCCATGAAAAATTGTGATTTTCCCATCTTTTTTTTTATGTTTACCAGAGGCTAAGTATCTACTGTATCTCAACATCCATAGTCACCATAGTCAGACTTGATTTCCCCAGTTCAAAGCTCCATTTTGATCATGGTTTGTCCTATATCATGTTATATCCCCGTGAGAAAAACCCATGAAAATCTCCGCATGAACTTTGGGAAACCCCTGGAGGATCAACCCACAGTCCTCTGATAACCAGGTTGTCCCAGTTACATGTGGGAGAAGTATGGATACCCTCTGGTAAACTAACAGTTTGCTATCGAAAATCACAATTTTTAATGGGTAAATCAACTATAAATGGCAATTTCCAATAGCTACGTTAAATTACCAGAGGGTAAGCCCATTGAGGGTCATGTTGAAATCAAAACCAATGTACCCGGAGGGTATAGGATTCTTGGACTTAGAATCAAGACCATCCAAAACCATGGATTTCGAGAAAAACAAACATGAGCTGTTTAACATGGATGATACTTTGAGTTGTTCCCGATTCTACGAACCCAATATGTTGCATATCGTTTTGCATGGCCAAATTTCATGAAAGTTGCAGCACCCCCACAGCACCCCTCCAAGCACTCTGCAGTGCCTTTGGATTCTGACCCAGTTCTAAAGCTTGATTGCAGGCGTCGACACACTTCTGGTGCTCACCCAGCTTCAAGTAGCAGGCCTGTCGCGGGGCTGGAGATGGCTGGAAATGTGGTGCGAAAAAAAAACAACAAAACCGTGATGTTTCTTGGTTCACAACCCCCATTATAGATCTATCAGAAAACCCAACTTAGCTACAATGTGAGGCCCCCAAGATAGCTAAGTTGGTTTATAACTCCAATAACTATGGTTTATGGTACTTATAACTATAGTTGCTGGGGCGAATCTAAACCAACAAACATCACTGGGGGGCCTCACATTGTACTTATGGGGTTTTCACCACGGCGAAGTTTGGATTGTGAAAATCCGTCGGATATTGCTTGGTGCTTGAAACCGCCGAAAAAGAACGGATGATCATCCCATTTCAGGGCAGAGTTACCCTTTGGTAAACTAACAGTGTGCTATGGAAAATTGCCATTTATAGTTGATTTACCCAGAAACAATGGTGATTTTCCATAGTTGTGTAAACGTTTACCAGAAGGTAAATATCTTTGAGACTACCAACCCGATCATTATCATGTACGGGCTCTGAATTGTAGCGCGTGGATGCTGGTCTTTGTGATTTCATGTGATATTCTCCTCGGTTTGCCATCCAATGCTTGAAATCATTGGTAGCTATGACTCATGCCCCAATATGCCCCAGTTATCCCAGCATTGGTTGGAGGGAAAAGTTGAATAACCATATGAAGTTGGTTATATACACTATCAAAATCCCAATAAAGCTTGGTATATCCCTGTTATTCCCCAAAATAGTAAAATAGAGATACGATGGAAGAAATCCTGCACCAGTTGGCAACTATTGGTAACTATTGAAACACTGGGACAATAATGGGATCATAATGGGATGTTTACCATCTACCAACTGGTGCAGGATTTCGCAGCCATCCACAGTATGTCCCCATTCAATCCCCAATCGTCGGCGGAAATCACCGTTCTTCCAAGGGGCTGCCATGTTCAACCGCGTTGTCTCCTTCAGACGCCGCACCTGAAAAACGTCATGGCACGATGTTGCACGTACGTACGTGCAATACCTCCATGGCAAAAGATTCAACTTATCAACCCAAAGTTTTTTGTATGTTTACCAGGGAGTAATGAGATGATCTATAAGACTGACTTATTCTATATCTGGTTGGTGGTTTCAACCCCTCTGAAAAAAAGTCAGTTGGGATTATTATTCCCAATATATATATCAATATATTATATTATATGGAAGTTAATAAAAAATGTTCCAAACCACCAACCAGTGATTCAAAGTGTGCATCAAAAAGGTTGATCTTGACCCTTCAACAAAGCTCAATATTTCCATCAAAAACCATTTACTTAAACTCAAGCAGTTTCTTTAGCATGTCCAGAATCGGGAAAAAAAACACGCAGAACCTCAATTTCCATGGGACCCCTCCCGTTGATTCGCTAGAAACCTGCCAAAGGGATCATGGCGAAAACATGATTTCTTCGGGGGTCCAATAGATCCCTAGTCGAAATCAACGTCGTCAAAATCCGCCCACGTCATCCCTTCATACTGGTTCAAAGGAGTTCCCAGTTCATGGATTGCGATTTTCCTCATTTTTGTTATCATCAATCATCAATCATCTGGTTGGTGGTGCAATGTGCCCATCTTGAAAAATGACGGAGTGAAAGTCAATGGGAAGGATGACATCCCATATATGAATTGGAGAATAAGACATGTTTGAAACCACCAACCAGTCATTGTTGGGTTTGAACACTCCTCAAATGAGACATGAATTGTGAATTTGTTGAATTACCCATCCAGTGTTGACCCGTCATTTCCTAGGTATATCCATGTTTTTATCCACATGAACTGTAATGGTTAAGCTCCATGTAAATTGCGTTGAAAAAATAAAACTTCAAAAAACTACATCCAGAAACGGGGTTGCACTTGGGGTTAAATTCCACTTAGTAGGTGGTTCGTAATGTCAACCCCGGATTAATAAACCATTGTTTATTAATTAGGGGGGTACTCCTCCAATAGTCATGATTTGATACTTAAATGGTACCCTCCCAATTAAATAGCCTGGGGGTTTATTATTCCAGGGTTGACATTAATCATATATCACCATGTTATAAACTAGTTGTGTCTAAGAAATCACCCAGCTATCAGCCGGTTATAAACCACCGGTGGAGTCCGCGACATGTTTTAAATGAAGGTTTGAATGGAAAAAACATGTTTTCGATGGTATTTTCTATTGCCACATTTACTATCATTTACTTATAAGCTACTAAACATACCACCAACTTCGCGTTCGCGGAGTGGGTTTCCACCTTGAAATCCCATGAGAAATCCTTGTTGTTGATGGTTAAATCATGTTAAATCCCATATAACCAGCCTTTCCCTCCATCAATAGTGGATTATATGGGATTTAACCATTCTATTCCCGATTCTATCCATAGTTGAATAAAAGGACCATTCTATTCCTGGTGAAATCGCCCTTTCTGGTGTACCCTCTGGCAAACTGTTACATAACTATGGAAGGATCCACCATGCTATTAGTGGGTAAATCAACTATTTCTACTTAGATGGACCGTGGGATTAGCTAAACAGTGAGTAAATGGGTTATAAACTACAAAAATATCCCAATGAATAAATCCATTTACTAACTACTTAACTAATTCCATGGCCCATCTACGTATGACCATTTTCCAGTTCGCAAACTGTAAACGTCATAACAAGAGGGTAAACCAGCAAATTCAAACTCTACGGGATGACCTCGTTGACTTTCTCCGGAGGGATCTGATTGGAGGACAGCGACACCAAGTCCTGCGGCTGTTTTTCGTAGCCCGGTAGAAGTTGGTGATGTGAGTAAAACAATCACTGGTTGGTGGTTGAGCCCTACCCCTCTGAAAAATAATGGAGTGAAAGTCAGTTGGGCTTATGAAATGTCCAATTGAATGGAAATTCATAAAAGCCATGTTCCAAATCACCAACCAGATCATACACCAGCCCATTTTGGAGGGTTTATACCACTTATGGTGATTTTGGGGATGGTAGAAGTCGGTTATACATCCATTACTCTCTGGTAAACATACAAAACACGAAGGAGCGAAGGAAAATCACCATGATTCAATGGGTAAAGCAACTATAAATTCATCATGTTCAATAGCTATGTTAAATTACCAGAGGGTAAATACTGTTGCAACTTAAGTTATAACCACCATAAAATCCGAACACAAATCCCAGATAACCAAGTGATATGCGTCAACTTAGCTATCTTTTGAGGGCCTCATCTTGTGGATAATTACTTCCCCATCAACACGGAAATCCATGATGAGATATAAATCGAAAATGAATACAATCCCTATGGATCCAAACACCTCCTGAGAAGGTACAAAACACCCCCCAAATCATATCCCAAACACTTCCTAAGAAGGTACAACTGGATCCATAGGGAATCTGTGATCCATCCATAATCATCCATATAAATCAATGAACATGGATGACTACTGAAAGGAATTGCCACAGTTCAGCAACTATTGACCGTACCCTCCTGTAATCAAATCACCCATTTAGTTCGATTTTCCCAAATATCTAGCTAAATCTAGTTTTTTGGGGTTTCAAGACAATCATTCAACACCATTAACCATCATTAATCCCACTTTTCATCGCCAATCAGCCAGATACCCTACAGAAAATAAATTCTTAGCTGGTGAACGTAGATCATCCCATACCAAAAAGACTATCCAAAGGATTAGTGAAACCACCCATCTTTCAGATTACCCTAGATATAATCATCCATCATTCTTGGGTTTGACCATCATTCAACACCATTAACATCCATTAAACATGGATGCAACGAAAAGCCATGGATTTTCCCCTGGGAAAAATTGTGTGTTTGCTGGATTTTCCATGATTTTCCTGGAAGAAATGGTGGTGTTGGTTGAATTTCCATCATTAATCCCACTTTTTTATGACCGTCTTATGACCTCAATGGTTCAAGCGGCGTTTCCTGGTTGGCAGGTGGAGGCACTAAGCCATTGATGAAACAGAAGACCTGCGGCAAGCCATGGAAAATGAGATCACCACGGAAGATGTTTAAGGGATGTCTTGTGAACTTAGAAGATATGAGAACATCTATATATAATGTCCGGGTGCTATTAAAGAACCCCCCACAATTAAGTACGCCCAATACCGGGAAATATGAATTAATCATGATATATTCACCATGTATCGATGATCTTGGAAAAGCTACCTGTTCTCATGTGTTGTTAAGCCGGACAGGCACATCGGCCGCATGTTAACGAGTGATTGGGTGAGTCGTGAAATGTTAAGGGGTTGAGCAAGGTACAAGGTGGTTCCCTCACCCGTGATGTGGTTTCGTTGGTTTATAAACCATAGGAATAGTATAGATATATCTAACATAAACCAATATAGTGAAATTGGAGTTGTGAACGCACCAACTTAGCTAACGAACTGGGGCACCACCTTGTACTGATGTGAACAGGGAACCAAAAATGGGCCTAGATGATGTCAATTAAATGGGGGTGACATTGGAACACTTCTATAAATACTGTCATCCTATAGCATCTGACTTCTTTTCTTTAAAGGGTTCCAACCCATGGGGGTAACCCAGTCATCATCCAGTCGTCATGGATGACCCTGAGTTAGAAATGAAACCCAAAGCGACGACTGGGGATCCCCCATTTTAAGAAATCACCAAGTTGGTGTCTAACCCCATTTAACTATATAGACATATATATTTTAGATACTACTGTATATATTTGTAATATACATGTGTATAATATTGAAATACATATATATATACATACATATTAATAATATATATATATATAACATATATATATATATATATTAAATAATATATTATATACACCATCAGTCCTAGTTATTGAAGTGTGTCTTTGTTTGACTCTGCAAGCATGTCCATGTCTGACTCAGGTCGTCAACGAGATCAACACCTGCCAGTGGCAGGTCCGAGCACGGCAGCCCTGCCCGGTGCGCCTTGTGGTAGGCTCCCAAGGCTTTCTTGTAGTTGCCTTCCGGCTGGGAAAGTGCGGGCCCCAAATCTCTCCAATTTCGAACACAAATGTCGGGTTCGGGCTTCACAAAAGCGAAGTTGGTTTAGAACTGGGTTAACTGCTTGGTTTATGGTAGTTCTGAGTAGAGTTAAGTAATGTAAAATGAGATTTCAAACCAATTTATAACATCTCATAAGTGGGGGCACCTGCCTTGTCGTATTTCACTCACATGCTGCAAGGAAGCTCAATCATGTAGTGCCCATGAAAGAAAGCATTTGACTGGATGGATGCATGTGAACATCTTCCAAAGTGGGTGGATGATATCTATTTGTCTGGACAGTTCACGACACAAGCTCTGTACGTCTGTTTCGGGCAACAAGTTCCAAGCGATGATTTGGCAAACGTTTGACATGTTGGCTGGTTGGTAATGAGCCACCCCACCAAGATGTTACCTTCTGACAATCTAAGCCGACGATGGCAAATCCATATGTATATCTTCCTATTCAAAAGACGTTTCCCATGTCCAAGTCAGACTACCAAAGCATAATCAAGCTTGGCTAAGCATGCCAAGTAGAGGATGCAACGAACTGGGAAGTCCCTAAAAAATAATTTCCAAGTTTTCAGTGAGAAATCGTTAGTGAGCCAAAATTAAACCCCACTTTTGGTGATTAAACTCCAATTTATAATCTATGTAATCCATACAACCATTTCAAAGGAAACAGTTGGTGACTCATTGGTGACTTTACAGTAATCCCGAACAAAACAAACTAGCCAATGGGAGCAACATCCCATTTTGTTGGATGAATAGTTAAGAAATGTTAAGAAACCATGAAACAACAAACCAGAAGGGAAAAACACATGTCGACACCAGCAAAAGGTGGTGCTCCCTGCTTGGCTAAGTTAATCTAGAACTAGACTAACATAGGCTAACTAAATTATCTACTAATAAACCACCACACATAACTGAGGCGGCACCAGCTTGTATTGAAATATGACACTCTTATGTTTGTTATCGTATTCAATGATCATTTGCCTGGCGAAATCAATGTTAAATCATCATCTGGTTGGTGGTTGAGCCCTACCCCTCTGAAAAATGATGGAGTTCGTCAGTTGGGATTCATAATCCAGCCATGTTCCAGTCACCACCAAGCAGCTATTAATGGATGGAATCACCCAATTTTTCATGGGTCAATCCACTATTTCCAAGGCCATTTCCTATGGCTTGTCCCAAGGGGATCCATCAATCTTATCACTGGCCATCTCAGGAACCCATTGATTGGAGGTACCGATTCCATTTTTTCAGGCCTTTGTTTAAGGCCTATGTTTCCGGGAATATCCCCACAAAATATGGCTGAAATATGGTACGTAACAAGTACCTCCATCTGTTGGATCCTGAAGATCTCCCATTGATCTTATCCCATTGATCTGGTTGGTGGCATACCTACCCCTCTGAAAAATATGAAAGTCAGTTGGGATTATTCTTCCCAATATATGATAAAAAATGTTCCAAACCACCAACCAGTTATACTAAGAACTCCATGGAAAAATTGGAAAATCCCTCGAAATTTCCTATGGCTTTTCCCAGGGGGATCCATCAATCTTATCCCACCAACCAGCCTTAAATGTTGATCATTTTGGTCACCACGACCATCCTCTCGGCCCTCGGCCTGCCTTCCTGATGTTGTCGGTTGCCCTCGGCCTTCAACTTCTCAGCTTCGCCCAGTTGCTCCACCGCTGCCATAGCAAAGGCAGGATATAGTACTGGGGGGTGCAGGCGGTTGGGGTGACTTTCATGGTTAACCACTAGAAATGGTGATGAAAAACCTATAGAAATGGTGGTTTAACCACTAGAAATGGTGATGTACCCTCTGGTTATGTCAAAATAGCTATGGAACATGGCCATAGAAATAGTTGATTTAGCGGACTTAAAACTGGTGGTTACCCTGCAAACAATGACAGATTCTTTACTGGTTATTAAGTAGATAATCCCATACCAAAAGACTATTTCGGATTAGTTTCTACCCATCTTTCAGATTGCCCTGGAACTATGGAAATACGCTCTGGTAAACGTTAACAACAAACTATGGAACATCACCATGCTATTAATGGGAAAACTCACTATTTCTCTGGCCATTTTCCAGTTCGCAAACTGTTAGTTTACCAGAGGGTAATGGACCTCTGTACCCTCTGGAAATTTCACTGGTAACTCTTTGAAGTATGGGCCATGGCTTCCAGAATCATCCATAGCTTAGCTATGTCAAATTACAGGAGTGTATGACACATATCAACATGGAACACGCACTTTCTTTTCGAGTGGTCCATGACCTGAGTGATAGGCAGCACTGTTGAGTCGGCATCGGCTGACGAGCCACAAGCTGTGCAAGGAAAGAGCCAACAAGTGGTGCGCAAATAAGTCCAATAACTGTTCTGTTTATGGGGGTTATATCGACCATGGGGATTACAAACAAAAAAAAACGGGGGGGACCAAATTCCTACTAAAAAAATGGAAACTATGTGTCTGAATCATTTTGGGGTGTTACTCTATATCAATTATCCAGTGAACAATATTGCTCATAGATAGGGTAGGTCCTATACTTACTTCCCTAAAGACACGTAAGGAAGTAAGGATACACAATGTCGTAGGCTTCCTGACATCGTCGACGATTGATTTGGACAAAAACAATTCTTATTATTTGCAGCTGCTTCTCCCTTATCAAAGCTTCTCATGCTGCAATTGTTCAATCATAATTCGTTCTGGACTCGTTCACACTTTTCAGCTAATGTTTCCCATGTTCCAAGGTATATTAGGTCATCTTCACAAGCGGGGTGAAAAAATGTATATGTGGGTCGGGTACGGTATGGCTCAAATTGTTGCCCCACAAACATGGTAGCAGCTTGATGCACTCTGAGCTATTCCAGTCCACTACCGAAGGGACTCCCTCATGAAACAAATACTTGATAGGGCATGAATATATGTGGGTTTGTATTACCCTCTGGTAAACTAACAAAACTATGGAACATCACCATTTTTAATAGGTATATAAATCAACTATAAATAGCCATTTTCAATAGCTATGTTAAATTACCAGAGGGTTAAATAAGGTACCCAAAAATGTGATGATATAACAAATTGTCATTCTGGGGGTACACCCAATTTTCGGACACATCGATTTGATATGCAGAACTCTTCCCAGACTTCGACAAAACAAACAGGTTCAAACATGGAGAGGTGCAAAACTCACTGCAATGAACTCACTCGGCTCCACTTGCAAATTCCCCACCTTGAGGTTATCTTCCCCCTTCATGGTAAGATTTCAGAATAGATGTAGGAAAACCACGAAATTTATCATAATTGATCTATATTTATCACACGCACTTCACATTGTCAACCAAATTTCATCTTCATATCCCTCATTCCAACTTAGCCAACTGGACAGTACCATTCGTATCCCTTTTTTCGCAGTGCCCAGGTGGCCCAAGACAATGAATACATACCAAAAACCATGGCCAATCAGCCAGATACCCTGCAAAAAAAAAAGGCAGATTCTTAGCTGAGTGAGTAGATAGTCCCATACCAAACGACTCTTTTGGATTAGTGAAACTACCCATCTTTCAGATTACCCTAGACATAATCATTCATCATTCTTGGGTTTGACCATCATTCAACACCATAAAAACATCCGTGAAAACCATCAAACTGTTGAATATCTCATTCATATCCATTAACCATTAATATCCATTAATGTCAACCCCAGATTATATAATCAACCATGGTTTATTAATTAGGGTGGTACTCCCCAAATAGTGGTAATCTAATACTCAAATGGTACCTCCCCAATGAAACAGCCTAGAGGTTTATTAATCCAGGGTTGCCATATGTTGCCATTAACCACCATTGACCATCATTAATCTGGGCAAATTATAATAATTCACTAACCTGAATTAAGGCTATTTGGGGATGATTCCCCTTATTAACAATGATTTCCAGTGAGGGAGAACAGTGAGGTCGTTGTAATTTACCCAGATTAATCCCACTTTTTGGATGAGTTAAAACTACCAATCTTTCAGCTTGACATTGCTTGACTCGAAACCGCCTTTGGGCCACCGTACTCCATGACGCGGAATTTCCCGCCACGGTTATGGGGATGCCTCGGGTGCGCATAAAACAGATGGTGCTGCCAGCGAGTGACTGAAGAAACATGAGGATTTAAAGAGATTTATAGCTGATTTATCATAGCTATGCTAAAAAAAAATATTCAGCATTAAGCCATCCAACTATGCTTTGAGTTGGAACCAAAGGTCGACCAATCTAGAGATCACTAGCTGTCCTGCCGATGCAGTTAGAGATCTTCCAAACCTCGAAAAATTCGAATTGGAATCCCCACGACACGGCATCACCAAGCATATAGCTCAAGAGATGTACCCTCTGGTAAACATACAAAAAACTATGGAAAAATCCACCATTTTCATGGGAAATTTCACTATTTCTATGGTGATTTTCCATAGTTATGTTAAATTACCAGAGATGTATGTCAGACATCTGCTTGTTAGCCAGTAAACCACTGTGGAGAACTCAGGAGAACTGTTGGTGTCGGCCAAAGCTGTCAAGGGGACCTTGCCGTACTTCACTGATGCTAGAACTAGACGAATTGGGCCACCACCTTGTACTAGCTATAGAGATCTATGGAGTACATTGTGCTATTTCCGAACTTCAGGGATTCTCCCCTTGTTGCAAGAATAACCACCGCTGAAATTTCACATGGCACGGAAAATAAGCAATTGCCAAGTGTAAATCCATCAGCCAAAGGCACTTTAGGCTTCATTGAAGTTATGTGCACCAATTTAGCCAACTAATCCATATGGAAATCACCGCGTTTGGCCACGTAAAAAATCACGTGACATCACAACTTTCCTATGGTTTGCCATACTATGCCCCAGTTTTAAGTTACTTAAGAATTATAGATCTGGGTAAATTACAATATTTCACTAACCTGAATTAAGGCCATTTGGGGACGATTTCCCTTACTAACCATTATTCCAGGGCTCGGTCGCAGTGAGGTCGTGATCAAATTTACCCAGTTACTTAAGAATTATAGATGAGTTTAGCATAAACCCTAGTTTGAGCAAGTTAACTCAGTCAACTCTGGGAAAACGTCAAAGAATAGATGTGGACTGTGGAAAACAAACAACGGATTTCCAGATTTCCGTTGTACATCCAAATGGGAAAGCATAGGCTTTCCACATCTATGGTATCCAGCCTGGTAAACGTTTACATAACGAACTGGAAAGATCCACCATTTTCAGCTGGGTCATAACCATAGGAAACCATAGGAAAGTGTGGCTTTAATATGGTTAAAAAGGAATTTATAGCTGGGTAAATCCACTATTTCGATTGGGTCATGTTCCAGTTCGCAAACTGTAAACGTTTACCAGGCCGGGTATCTTAAATGATGGATAATATAGACATATAATAGCTATATGTTTTTTCCCATCGTTATACCATAGTTATAGAAACCCAAGAAATAATAAAATAGTTATAGTAGTTATAGTCCAATATCTAGAGTTGATTAGGAGATTATATATCTATATCTATATCCTATGGTTTCCCTATGGTTTTCCTATGGTTTTGCTATGGCAACCTATGGGGCACCGTTGTTTCACCGCTGGGCTTTTGCACTCTGCATGGTGCCGCAGCCTGGACTGCAACTCCTGAGCCCAGGTCGTGAATCGCTAAGGAAAGCCGTTTGGAAACCATAGGAAAATATGGGGAAACCATAGGAAACCCTAGGAAAATGTGGCTTTAATATGGTCAAAAAGGGATTTATAGCTGATTTATGTTGGCCAAGTTGGTGCGTTCATTTTTCCAATTTCACTGTGGTTTATGGTAGAGATATCGAACTATTTACTATGGCTTAGACTGGGAGGGCACCACCTTGCAGAAAACGGGTCATGTTTATCTATAGGTATATCACTCATGATCATGTTTACATCGATATAGATCTATGGATTTCTGGGCTAATTAGCTGGAGGATCATCCTGCGGATCATCAATAAGCTAAATCCACACAGTGGGCTGAATATAAAGGGGATATAATTTATATAATGGGGATATGATATGATCTGATCTGATGTGATATCATGGGATGTGTATGTATGTATGTATATGCACCAGGCCCTGCCACCCACCCCTCCCCCCCCCATGGGATGGGTCCCATAGACTGGCCCCATATGAGATCTTCCCCCTCCCCCCCTGTGGTGTGGTGGGGGTGTGGCACTGTCCCCCTCCCCCCCCTGTGGTGTGGTGGGGGTGTGGTATGGTATGTTGGGTATGTATGGTGTGTATGGTCGGTCTGGTATGGCATGTTTGGAAAGTATGGTATGTTTGGTATGTATGGTAGGTATGGTATGTATGGCATGAGTGGTTGGTATTGTATGGATGGTAGGTATGGTATGTAAATCTGTTGGGCACGGTATGTTTGATATGACAGTATGTATGGTCTGTATGGTATGTATGGTTACTATGACGGGCATGGAATATTTCCTATGTAAGGTAGGTGTGGTATGGTTTGCCATTGTATGTTTGCTATTGTATGTATGGTAGGTGTGGTAATTACATTTCATTTGTATGGTATGTATGGTATGTATGATAGATATGATAGGTGTGGTATGCATGGCATCAATGACATGTATGGTAGGTACGGTATATGTTAAACACAGGTAGTGTTGTCAGAGTACACAAGTA